ATATTATTCCTTAAGAGATTTTAAGGTGGCTAGCTCAATTGTTTCCTAAATTTTTTTTATAAAACATCAGAGATTCATTTAAACTGTGGCACCAGCCTTAGTCTTCATCACCTTTAGCCTTAAAAACTGTACCTATCAATTTTGTGCAGTTCAAAAATATGTAGAAAAAGCTATGTGATGTTTTAACCATTGCCTGATTGGGTAGATGAAAAGTATCTTAGTAAGGGCATTAAAGTGAGGTGATCAGATTTCTTTTTCTGGGAGAGAAAGAAATCTGTCCACCAAACCTGGACTCATGGAGAATGCTGCTAACACTGGTTCATTGTGAATGAAATGTCTCTGCTGGCCCTGACGCTATAGTTGGGAGCACATCTTCTCTGTTGGGTTGTGTGATTTGGGGAGAGAGGCTGAAGTAAAGATGTCATTAACACACTCATGTGTGACTGTGCTTGAAGGAATACTGTCTTAGGACTGAAAGGGGGAACATTCTGGCTAGCAGACAAAAGTTTGGTACAAAGAAGGTCTGAGAGAGCTATGTCTGAATAGTGGGATAAATCCTGGTCAGAGTGGAGCATCTGATTATCTTTAACTGATGCACAGTGAGGACAACCTCCTTGTTTTCAATTCCAGCACTTTCTGCCCTGAATATACTGCATCCTTGAGCATCACAGGGCAGCTCGGTGAGGCAATGTCCAACTCCAGCCCCAACTGGTGAATGATTTTATAATTAGTAATTTAGCAGCTTGTGGAATCCTTTGTCTACCTGCAAGAGCTCTCTAGTGAGTGTGTGAGATGCATGGTTTCCAAAGCTCTGTTACTTAGCTAAACTGAACTTTAATTATGATGTCTGGAGTTTGTTTCAGTATAGGGATCATCTATACTACCAAATATAAGTTATCTCCTCTAGATAGCTTGGGAAATTAGCAGCTTTTCAAAGAGAAGCTCACTGGATTTGTTTTTAACAGTTTATTTGCTGTTTTTCAGTAATAGATCCATTTTAACTGATTGTCTCCTCCCCACCCCTGTCATCCTGTGGAAAGTATGTATTTAGTAAATACCAGTCCAATAGTGTCAGGCAATTTTAACTGATAGTGCTACTAGTCACTGTCTGATTTCTTTCTGTAAGTTCCTCTGAACACCTGTGTAAAATTACCTGATTTGAGGAGCTTCTCTGTATTTGTTAAAGCAGAATGACTTTGAGTAGTAAGTCTGCATAAAGATCAGATTTTGCATCTGCAAAGAATGTAACAGACAAATGGCCAAAGCTTTGGAAAGGGCTGTGCCTCCTGTGTAGGCACAAAAGGTGAAAAGGAAATGGTTCATTACAGTCATAATTGTGCCGGAGGACAAGTTTCAGATTTTTTTATGACCTGGTTGGCATTTTCTGCCTACATAAATCAGTTATTTGTAAAATGTTCAGTTCAAGGCTACCGTAATTTCTGTGCTTTCTCCCTTGCTTAACCACTCAAAATCCTTCTGCATTGTAAGCCGTTGTCTAATTGGTGTCTCATAGGCAGTGATGCACTGCATTAACAAGCCTAGATTTGCTTAATATCACATTCCTCATCTCTGTTTCCTGTCTTTGTGTTGACTCCTCTGGTTCTTTTTCTTTAGGTTTTACAATTTATTTTTATGCTAATTTTTCAGATTACCAAAAATTTGTTTACTTTTTTTCTTAACCACATGAGGTTTAATAAGGACCAAAATCCTGATTTGGGTATGATTTACACACGTGCTTAGCACTGAAAGGCATGCTCAGCTCTAACCAAGTAGTTTGTTCCCCAGAAGGGAATGATGGGACTACCTTTGCAGTAGTTAATGTTATTTTATGCATCTGAAGATTTGCAAGAAAGGACATACCAAAGTGCTTCCCAGTTTATGATGAGGGCTGATAACATTCCTTGAACTAATGGTACCTAGTAATAGAAAATTTCTAGATCTGAGTTTAAAATGCAGCTCCTGCTTCTTCCAGTCACAGAGTCATCCAGGTCTCCTCTGCTTAGTGTAGCCATTCCATGCTGAGGAGGTGTAAATACTGCAGGTAGGGCCAAATAGGGAAGGAGGCCACGCACACTGTGCGTCACTGGCCTTCCACTTACATTCCTCGGGTTCCTTTGATAATTCCCCTCTTGCTGAGAATGAAAAGTGCATAGCAGCTGCGATATGGAGGAAAGAGTCCCACAGGCTGAATGTATCTCACTTTACAGATCATCTCCTAGTATTTAAAAATATGGAAGCGAAGAAAGATGTGCTTTTCTGTTCCAAATGCTAACTTTGGAAAATGTCTTTATCTTGTTCCTTGATTCCTTTGTAGCTATATACCTTAATGTGGACAATATGAATGATAACACTATTGTCTCTGAATAGTCCAAGAAAAAACTCTATTAAGAAATCTAAAGTTTGGGATGACTTAAGAGAACAAACCTACAAGAAAAGAGGTGACTTTAAAATGCTAAATCCTTGAAAAGAAATTCTAGTCACCCATGAGCACCAGCTCTTGAGTTGTCATTTTTACATGGGATATTTGCAAGTTGCCTTTACTAATAACTTCACAGGCGGAAGAAATGTACTGTTTAAACATTAATCATTTCAGTTACACATTAAACAGTAACTTTCTTAATCCAGATGTAAATATCCAAACTGAAACACTGCATTTATGCAAGGAGCACAGAAGTGATGCGATATCTTTATCAAATTTCAATTAACAAATAAAATAGATAATTTTTTTGGCATAACTGTAAATAGTATCACTGTCAGTAAAGCACTGTCATCTCATTTGTGGTATTAGTGCTCTAACTTTTAGCAGTAGTCCAGTGCCTGTTGATTTTAGTTGCCTTTTTTTTTCATAACTAAAATTCGGTGTTTTGATTGTGGCATTTTAGATTCTTCTAAACTGTCCTGTCCAACCTTCAAGATTAAGATGTTGCCTTCTCTTTTTCATGTATCCTTTTCGCTCTCAGTATTTCTGAGCCTGCTACTGGTGCTGGTGGAGGAAGTTTCCAGGCATGTGGGAACACAGGAATTTAATGCTGATGGGAGAAATGGGAAGTGTCCAGTGCCCCGTTTGACTGTTTTGCCTTTGCATTCTCAAGGAAGAAGAAAATTTCTGTTTGGGCTGTTGTTCTAGTTTACAGGTGTGAGCAGTAGGAGGTATGTTTTAGGCTTGTGTAATCCCTTTCAAAGGTTTCCCAAGCTGTGTGCCCATCTATTGACAGGATCACCTTTCCTTGAAGGGTGGGTGAAGTCCCAAGGCTTTATATCCTCAGGCAGAAAATGGAAATGTAGCTGCCACTCATTCAGTCTGAATCCCAGTCCATTGGTACCAAACTTTGGGCTGTATTATTACATTTATGTACTGGATCATGAAAGCGGAAGATTAAAAAGTAAATTATTTGCCCCAATACAATTTTCGTTCTGAAACTGTAAGGACAGAATACCATAGAAACCTCTAGAAGCTCTTGAAGGAAGTAAATGTGATGGGGAAAAAATACCTAACTCTGGAGTGCCTTTTTGATGAGTCATGTACCACCCTGCTTTGCACCTATTAACAGAATGCATTTTGACCTTACCTTTCTTTGCTCTCATTCCCTCCCTCCTCTGCGATATCAAAGGAAGTGGCTTTTTGGAAATCAGCCTGCCAGAGAAGAGGTGATTTAATTCACCTCAGTATCTACTGGCTTTAGACAAACAGATAAGAACTGTATTTATAACCTAATTTTCTAAAAACAGTGTAACATCAACACTGAGTTGAAAATATTGGGCCTAAATAATCTGTTAAGAACATGAAAATGAACTGGCCAAAGTGGCAGAGGCTGATGTGTACAAGCACTGTCATTGGTTTCTTACATTTGTTTCTGTCCAGTGATAATTCATCCTTTCTTCCATGGTGCCACCACAGGGAGTCATAGCAAACATGAGGTGTCATGAGGGGCACCAAAGCATAAAATTAAGATTACACTTAAGTTTTATCCTATACATTTACATACAGTGTGTCTCCAAATCTAGCTTACATGAAAAATCAAGATAGGCTAATGTCTGCAGCATACAACTAACAAGTGTTAGTTGGGGAGGATTTTTATGTGTTACTGCTATTAATGCCTTGTGTGACAGGATGGTTCATTTTGACAGGATGGTTCATTTTGACAGGATGTTTATTCAGCTGAAAGGTTTATCAGATGTTAAATCTCCTAATAGAAAACATGGATTTAATTTGAATATGAGAATTGAATATCGTATTTTCGGAGCCTGTTCCTATAAATAGCTGCATTTTTGAACAGTATTGTTTTGAATTTTTGCTGTTGGAGCTACTCAGTTGTGTTCCTGAGCAAGTCCTGTGAAATGCATTAATGTCAGGTGTTTTCATTCTACAGATTGACGTGGCCGTTGCCACTCCATAAGTGTTGAGTGCCTATTTTGGTGTCTGGCGCTGCCGAGGCAGCAGTTGCCCTCTGCATTCTCTTGCCATGTTTTCTGAGAGAGCCCAACTGGCACAGCCCTTCTCTCTGTGCCATCCCCTGCCCCTCCACATCTATTGCACAGGCTGGAGAGGGTGGGTGTCCTTGTCGGAGCTCTAGTTCACTACAGTTCAGACTCTTTCTCTTCCGAGGAAAGCCCTCTAAGTGCTGTCTTGGGCCTGCTTAAGGAACTGAAAAAGTTTAAAGGAGATCATGAAGTATTAGGTAAAATAGTCAGCAGCAACCCTGTTCCCCTGAGACGGGGGACAAGAAACGGCTGCCAGTAATTTTGTTCTTGCACGAAGATGTTACCGGCAACCAGGTTCTAGCTGCTTCTCACTCCTCCACCCTGGAAAATCTGAACTGGTTCTGGCAGAGCAAGTTGCCTGAAGACAGGTGAATCAGAAAGGGTGTTGCCTTTTCAAAAATTTTAAGGAAGAGTGTACTGCTTATAAGTTAGTTTGGAGGTAGAGAGAAAAAAAAGAATTTTTTATCATTCTTTTGGTTGGAGTTAGAACACTGTACACCTTTCTTGCTTTAAGGGCTTTTTCTCTATCCTATGTCCGAGTTCCTGAGCAATTTGACAGTGCCTTTGGTGCAGGGACCAGAACCATCTGTCCTGTCTTGACCAGTGTGGTACTCCTTCTGCCTTTCTTTCCCTTTGGCTGAATTGATTTTTCAGTTCTGCTTTGCTTGGTGGAAGAGCTTCAGCTATATGTGTGGAGACCATCCCATCCTGCAAGAGCTAATAATCTTATAGTTAAGATCTGTCATGCTAAGGAATGCTGTAAGAACAAGGTTATTTTGTACACAGGGCCAGGCACTGGTCTCTCTCAGAACTACATCAGTTTGTGGACCTAGCCTTAAGTACTGTGAATAATAGATTTAGTCTTTTACCACACTGGAGCTGCTAAAGTTACAGTGGTTTCCATTGTCATACAAAGTCATCACGGGAAATGAAGGTTGTTGCAATTTTTTTGGCTGTGATATGGAGCTATAGTGAGAGTTGCTAAACAGGTTTCATACTAGTGGAACAATTTCCTCGGCTTACACATATAGGATTCTCAAGTCGTGGCTTAGCTAGCTATTTGTCGGAAATATCAAAGTGATGTGAAGACAGTAAGGGACTTGGTGTTTTGTTTCTAATGATGCATGTTAGCAACAGAAACTGGTCCTTATCTCATCTAATGGAGCTGCCTCTGCCCTCAGAAAAAATCCCCAGCAGTGCTTGTCTATTCTATCTCCCTTGCAGCAATAGTAAAAAGTAATACTGAATATTTTTTCCTATTTATTTGCTGTTTGAATCCTCAGGAATTGTTTCTATTAGATAAAATGGAGAAAAGTATTACTACAATATACGATGTCATCTTTTGGAATAGGGTATATTAGGTGTATTGATCTGATGCTCCAAAATTAACAGTGTTGCAAATAAAATAAATGTAGGTTTCAGATGTGTATGGATTTTCTTGCTCTTATCAACAGTAAACAACTAAAGAGAAATAAATTTTCTCTTAGCTTGTAACTAACACAGCTTGAGTTATTTTACTTTTCTTTTTACATGTTGACTTTAGGGATATTTTAGGTTGTACTTTAGTCCTTCTACAAATAAACTCTATTCACTTTGTTTTTCAGTTCTTAAACACAACATAAGAGAAGGGTTAACAAATGTAAGAAGTATTACATAACATATGACAGCCTCTCCTTCTTCCCCCTTTCTGTAGGCAAGGTGATTCTGATGAAAGACTTGGTTAGTGAACTTAATGCTGCACCTTGATGAGTGACAAGTCTCATACTTGTGGATGATTTCTAGCAGCTGTAGGCATGTGAATATTGTGCTGTGAGAGAAGTAATGGGTAGATTTCTGTGGTAGGAAAGCCAATTTGCCCACCTGTGGAAGGATACTTTCTTCTCTAACTGGAAGGTCACTTTATGTAGATTTGACTCAATTATGTTTATTCACTCTATTCTACCTTAAAAAACTATTTACTGTTTAAACAATACACAATAGTTTTTATCTGACTACTACTTCAGTTCTGCACACTATTTAAAGTCAGTATTGTATTTAAGGATCTTCCCCAAACCCACACTGTGTGTTAAGAAAATAATTTTATAGGTGCCATAATCCCTAATCTCTGTACAATATTAAAGTAACAACACTTCTACATAAGAGCTCTAGAATACATACCTTACAGGAATGTGTATTTTATCTGTACTTACTATATAGTGAGAAGTCCTAATTTTCCTTAATACTGACTGTAAAAGTTAGGGTTTTATCCAGATTTTCATTATATGTCAAGTTCATACAGTTCTAGATGTTAAATAAACAAATATTATTTCTCTGTAGGCAGAATCTCAGTTGTCTCAAATGAGATGTTTGATGCAACTTGGTTTTATCTTTACTGAAATAGTTTAAATCCAGTAGGTTGATATGTATAAAGGTGTAATTTTTAACTTATACTTCTTAGTTAATGGATGTGTATTATTTTACTAAGAATATTAGATCTCTTGCTCATTTTTTTTTACATGAGAATATTTCAACCCAGGATGCAAATTAGCTGAAAACTAAGTTTCATGGGAAACTCAAAAAAAAAAAAAAAAAGTACAATTATTCTGACTTCCATGTATTTGTCCATATCAACAGGATTCCTTGTTGTGTTCGTATGTAAACTCCTGTGCCATAAGAAGTGAAAACTGCTCTAGGCACCTGCCCAAATTCTCCAACACACCTTGCTACCCAGGAATTTGCTTCCTCAGAGCACTTTCCTGTGTGTCATCTCCAAATGGTAGTTTACTGGAGGTCCCACAGAGATTTGAGCATGGATCACTGGATTCAGAGTTTGAGGCTGGTCACATAGACTATAGGTGCAAGTGGGCCAGGAAGGTGTCCAGTATCTGGGGGAGTTAGCACTGGAGGAGGTAGTCTTCAACAACCTAGACAATTATGAGGTCTCTGAAGATCTGGATGATGTCCATTGCACATGGGCTATGTGGCAGAGTTTAGTACAGTAGCCACCAGTGTAACATGCCAACACATTGTGATGATGGACTGGCTGGATATCAAGGCACTAACTGGAGAAACTGTCCCACCAGCTCCAGGAATTCAGAGACAATCTCTCTTCTGCTATGCTGTGGGCCTGCATCTTGGCTGTGGCTGGTGTCCCACCATGTTCAGTGTCTTGGGGAGAGTTTCTCTTCCTTCTTGCCCCAAAAGACAGGATCTCACATATCAAGGGTGCTGAAGTAGGTGACAGCGCCTTAACTGTGTGTGATGCTGTGTTGCCACTTGTTTTTCAAGGCCTAGGATGAAGTTTTGATTGGCAACATAGGCTGCAGGGTACATTTCTAGCCACCTGCTACTAATGTTCTTTGGTGGTGCAGCTCTCAGATATGTGAGAGTCTACATGATGTATATGCACATCATGATGCAGATGTATTCTCAAAGTACATCTCATGTCATTTGTAAATATGTATGGAGTAAAGCATCACTTTCTTACCCAGCATTGGTGCCCCCTGTTTTTTTGTGGCTAATTTATCTGTTTCTATAAATAAAATTTCACGTCTTGAGTAATTAATCAGCATTTATTTTCCACATTTTTGCAGAAATTGCTGTGTGAAAGCACAGTTTAGTATACTTGTTATATTTTTGGTTGCTGCTGTTTAGTCTGCTTCATCTTCACTCAAGCAAATGTCCTGAGCATGTTTCTGAAGACACTGGCAATGGAAGGGTGGTGGGAAAGCTCACAGCCTAATCTTTATCTTCCATAAGTATAAAAGTGATAAACTGAGTTAAAAGCTGAACTCAAAAGAGTTGAACTTCCAGATTTCAAAAAGACTTCACACATATTTCTCAAAGTGTGCAAAGTAGTTTTGCAAACCAGCTTGAACTGAGGTGAGTAGCACATCTAAAATGGCTGTGTTTAAAAGAGTGTGTATATGTATATATATATGCATGTGTACAAATGTATATAAAAGCTTCTGCTCCTAAAAAATCTTCTTCCTTTGCAGTTGACACTACTGCTACGCTGCCTGGCAGAAAACAGATAACAGGTATATTGTGGTTCTGGGTTTTGTTTTCCCCATTGTTGTTTCATTTTACAAAGTGTGTAGGAATATTACTGCTGCCATTACTTTTTAATTCATGGAGACAGTTAAGCATATGCAAATATTTGCAAATTAATTAGCCATATCATCCTTGTGGGTTATTAGCATATTTCATAGTGAAAATAGCATCAGTAATTTTCCAGAGATAATGAAAATAAGGTCACTGAGATGACTCTGATTCTCCTTTCATTGCAGAAATTATATTTACATTTTCCCTTGTAAATAAGCTATTACTAGTTTTCAGTAAGGCACACAAAGTAGTCTGAGCAAGGAGTTGTGAGTGATTAGCACTTCAGAAACTCCTTGTTTACCATTTTTAACAACAACAAAAAAAATCTGTTTTTGCTCAGGGACTTTTGGTATCTCTGATTTGCCTTCTACAGCACTAGGAAAGGCTTTACAGTATAATTAGTAAGCAACATTATAGGCTGACTCACGAGTTTTGAGAGATGTTGAAATACCTTCAGTATATTTTCAAAATAGTGTTTCATATTTGCATCCAGCTGTTTTTTAGGTTATATTGCTGTGGTAACTGTGGCTTGACTTGTCTGTGTAACTCTCAAAAACCATCCAGTGACTGAAAGGGTTAACTTTGAAGTTGCTATGTGACCCAGATATCAAATTTCCTAATTGCTTTTTGATCAAAATACTGACTGTAACAACATCAAAAATCAAGTGGCTAATGTTTGCTATATAAATAGTTGGCTCGATCCTATCAAGATCAAAGGTTCAAACTTGAAATGAATTAGCTTTTTTTTAGTGCTTTTTACAGGCTGGGAAAGAGAACAGATATGTGTGGGATAAATTTTAAATGGCAAGTCTCACTGTTACTGTACAAAGTCTGAGAAGAGTTCTTCATACCTAGCTACAGCCACCTTGTTGTGTATGCTGATTGCCATTCCCAGAATTACAAGACACTCAGGATATCATGTGGCTTTCAGGCTGCTGTGGCACATATCTTAGGTCAATGAATTTTGGTTTCTTAACATTATACAATGCAGACTGTCGAGTGTTTCTTGAAAAGAAATAATCTTCAGTTAAATTCTATTTGCATTCATAAAAATTGTAATTTTTTTAAAAATCAGGGATTGTTACATGGGCCTTTTTGGGCAACCTGAACGTGTTGCTCTGAAAAAGCAGGTGTTGCCCTCTTCTGGTGCATGCAGTGAACTTTTGATAACATAGGAAAAGGCTACTGAGATTGATTATGTATGTGCCTGAAACGTTATAATGGTCTTTTTTTTCCCTTTTTTTTTTTTTTTTGTAATCTGAAACAAACCCTGCAAATTCAGGAGAATCAGCTGCAACAACCATTTCTGGTAAGAAAATCAGGCCTTGACTGATTTCTGCAGTGTTTGTTATTTCCTGTTAAAGATGCTTTTATCTGAGGTAGTGCAGAGATGTTGTGATGTTCCAACATTTAATGTTTTCACTGTTTTTTTTTTGAGGATAAAATGAATTCTTTCATTTTCCTTTTGATGTAGCTGTTTCATTTATATATGGTTACTGGAGAGACAGTTTGCCAAACCCAGTGTGTCATCTCTGGCCATGAATGTTATGAGTTCATGCAGGAAAAGATCCTTAGGGTTAAGCAGTTACTGCAATTGAATATGCAAAATTCATCTTCACCTTCTAAAAGAGGAAAACCACTAAGGGGAATTTACCTGAAGAAATTCAGTTACCAGCTGTTGATATTCAGATACTCAGATTTTTGAAATAATGTGAACATTATTTCGGTTGCTTGTACTGAAATGTCAGTTATTTGTACTGAAATAATGTGAACATTTTTAAGAAGCTTTGCAGTTGTTCTTAAAATGGAACTTAGATAAATAATATTCAGTTCCTGTTGAACATTTTGCATGCTTGATCTTTTTTCATCAAAATTCATAGAAGTAAAATACTGTATTAATGCAGTTTTTACTTCTTTGATATTTTTTTCCAGAATCTTCTATTGTTACTTTTATCACCTGTTCTATTAATCCTTCAGGCAATGTTTCTCTTACTTAGATTTAGTTAGGTTTAGACTTTTTGTCTCTTTCTTTTTTTTTTTTTTTTGTGCATTTTGATTGTATTTTTATTGTTATTGATTTTGCTGGTATTAATTTTTCTACTTCAGATATGTTTTCAGAGGAGACTACAGAAACTGCAGGTGAGAATTTGCATGAAGAGTTCAAGTAAGATGTTTGTTGCATTCATGTTTTTCGGTGGGTTTTTTTAATAACTGGGATTTGTTTTGTCCAAATTATTTTCTTACATGGTCTTAACATTTGTATTTATTTGCAATCTGTATTTTTTGTCTGCATGGGTAGGGCTCTGAGGGGCATTTAACTGACCCAGAGTTGTTAACTTTTCTATTTTATTCAAAATACTACATTGCTTACCAAAGCCCAAGTGGGCATATTTAGTTTTTACAAGTATATAGCTTTTTGATATATCTATAGATAGAATGTTTTCTGTGCATTCTGATAGTATTTAAAGTGTTTTACAGAACTAAAATGTACACCCCATTCCTTAAGAACACTTAAGAAGATACTTGTTCTTGCCATCAGTGGCCAAAACAGGATCAGAAAAGATGCAATCAGAACTTGCTACCCCTTTCTTTCCTGATGTTTGCACTTGAAAACAACGTGGACAGTTTCCTACATGTCTGTGTATGAGCTCAACATCCTGCTGCTCTGCATAGTTGATTGAAGGACAGATTTTTAGAATATGAATCATTTTATGCTCAAGCGCTCATGTGGAATGGGATAAGTGGTAATCACACCTTAAAAGCACCACTTTTTCCTCTGAGCAACAGGGAGCCTGGAGTCACTGCCTCTTACAGGGTCATAAACATGTGGCTGGGTGGATCTCACTCTACTTGCTGCTTTTACATTTCCCATGCTGACAGTAACTTAATTCCCTTATAAACTGGTCATGTGCTTGCACTTCTCCTGGGAAGACAGAGTCTAAAGGAGAAATAAGAAAACTTATTTTTTGTGGCATTTCATTTGTAGGCTTTGTCAGTTATAATGCAAAAAATGTCTTTTCTGTTTTTAACAGAAGCTTTTAAACCCACTGATTTTTACTCCACCGTAGCACCAGGTAGGATTCGTATATCACCACTGATCTTCTTTTGTGCTCCTCAAAATTTAAGTGTGCTGCCAAATATTGTTAATAGGATATTTTTTATTGGTGTTGTGGTGTGTCATAGTAGCAGTCTGCTTTACTTCACATGGTCTCCAGTCTGTTAGAAGGACTAAGTCTGCAATGCTTGTCTAGATGGCTGCATATAGAAAAGTTTGGTTATTTTGTAAGTCACAGCAGGAAATTACCACAAAACTGTAAGAAACACAATCTCAGGGACCAAGTTTGTTCATAAAAAACATCCTTATGCTTTTTAGTAGAGTGAAGCAAACTGAACACCATCATGATGTTTGACCTCAGGGCAGGTTCAGTAGGACCAGGAGTAGACTGAATTTAATTTTTCAGTTATCCATGTATGAGCTCAGTAGACCCATTAGAATGTATCTGCACTGAATTAGTGCAAGTGGAAAAAGAACTGGCCTGGAGCTGTGCTGAGCAGCAGGATTTGACTGTGTGAATGTGACCTGCAGCAAGATTGCAGCTGCGATATCTGGTGGTCTCTGAGGGCTTTCCCAGTGATTTTTTCATCAGCCTTTTATCCTCCACACTGCTTATCTATTTTGTGCATTTTGGTGGCATGCAGAGATCCTAAGCAAGGCTAAGGGGCCACATGTAGTAAAGAAAAAGAAGCTGATGTTACTCTTTTTTGTCACTTCTGGGATTTTGTGTTGGGTTTTTGTAAGTTTTGTTCTTTATGGAGTAAATAATTGTGACAATTTATTGTTAAGTTGACAATTATTGTTTATCAGTTATTTGTGAACATTTTATTTTTTAAGGATTGTTTAAAAAACCAAAATGCTGATACAAGTTTTGCAACTATTTCACTCCAACTGCCAACACAAGGGAAGGCAAACTTAGGATCACGGAATCGTTAAGGTTGGAAAACACCTATAAGATCATCAAGTCCAACAGTCAAATTTATTTGACTCTAGATTGATGTCTGAAAAGCTATTTTTCCTAATAATTTGAATATTGCGAACAGCTTATAGGCCATACCCTCTGATGGCTCTTTATTGATGGTAAGAAAATTGGTTAAACATCAGACTTTACTGTCAAGTGTTTGTACCACTGAAAAAGTGAAAAAAATAAATTCTCATCTCATTTGGTACTAACTAATGATGACAGCACAGAAAATAGCACTTTTTTTTCTATTAATGGAGGCCAATCTGTCTGCTTAACTAAGGAAAGTTGTGCTGCCACGTTCTTTTTATGAGCATGTGTAGGAGTTTGTCTTGGATGCAAATGTCTTTCCAGTCCTTTGTTTTGATATTATACAAGAAAGCCATCTGTTTACCATATCCTTAATTTAGGATCAGTGTTATTTCATAGCAGGCTAGGATTAAAAATGTGGAAACTATGGAGCAGCCAAAACCTTGCTGTAACTAAATGAAGATATGTTCTACTAGATGAGAGCACACATGTTTGCTGTCAGCATAGTTTGAATTCTATCAGGTAGAACAGTTTTGGCTTCATGCTATCATAAGTAGCAGTAGGAGGATCCTCAGAAGAAGATAATATGCTGCCTAGTGGTTGAATGCTGTGATATTTTAAGAGCAGATTTATGCCATGCTGATTCCTGTTTCTATTTGGATTTTTTTAAAAAAAAAAAAAAGAAAAAGAAAAAATTGAGACTGCTTGCATGTATGTCTTCTGTGGAAACTGTGACAGAGAATTATTAGAAGTTAATTAATCAAAGCCAGCATGTTTCTGAATACTGTCTTGGAAAATGTCATGATAAGCGCTCTAGAGAAGTGAAGCCTAGGCAGTATGTCAAGTATTTCTAAAAGGTAAAGACGTTTACTTGTAAAGCATTGAAATATCTATAAATAAGTGTCAGTATTGGATTTAAGTTCAGCGTTTTTGCTCAGTATTTCTTTTTTCTTCTCCCAAAAAGCTATAGCAGGAGAAACCATTGTATGCAACAAAACACCTGTCTGTAATTATTCAGGTTAGTGGTTTTCTTTTTCCTTTTTTCTTACAAGAAACATGTCCAGTTATTTTGTACTCTGAGTAATGAAGCAGTTTTTAGTTGCCATGTAAAAGCTAGGTCTCTAATAAATTTTCTTGTGTAAATTTAGAGAGATTTGATATAACTTCTAAAAATATAAAATTTGAGGTTTTTTCTTTTAAAGTAATGTTTAGTCCCTTGTATTGTTATTCTTTGGTTTCTTATCAAAGGACATGCAATTGCAGATAAGGCTTACAAATCTGGGAAAACAAGAATCTAGTATGCTGTGGTAGACACTAATGTCTGGCACATTGAGCCTAACTCTTTATCAGGAATAGGAGTTGAAATACTGTTCAGGAGAATTATTTTTAAAGTCTGTTTTTATTTTAAAAGTGTAACGTGACAGAACAGACAAAGGGAAATGGACAGGGCAGTGATGTTCCCTTTATGTATGTTGAGCAGACGTGATCAGAGAAGGTGAATGGTTTCTGTGAGACATACTTAAGAAAATGAAGTCCTTCCTGCCGAGTATTTTATCAGTTAGAAAGAGACAGATTAAGTACCTGCCCCCCTTCCTAGTGCTTGACACAGTAAACTGATTTGAGTGATATCATATATTCCTGTTTGCTGGTCTTTCTCTATAGTCTGCAGTAGATGGGTGGCTACCTGAAGAGAAATATTGTAGAAGTTCCTTTTTTTCCTCCAAAATGGGCCTACAACCTCACAAGTACTGTTGAGTGATGCTCTGAATTACAGTATCCTGAAAGCTCTTTAATCCCCAAGGGAGTGACTTTCAGTAATCACTTTGCCTTTGTCCACACTTTTTATTCTCATTGTGGAAATTGAAGTTGTATGTAATGTACATGCAGTTTTTATTGTTTTGGGGAAAAAAATAAGTAGAAACAATTTAGGGACATCTGGCAAAGTTAAATATACAGAAAATTATGAAGCTATTAGACTAATTCATTTGTTGAAATAGTAAGTGAAGAGATGGAAGGGCAATTGCAAAAGCAGAAAAGCTAGTGTAAGTGTTCTTATTTCCCTTGTATTGTAACACAAGACAGTAAATTTTTTAATTCTCAAAAAATTTGACATCATGTGTTTTAGCATTAATTTTTTTCTAACTTTTTGCTTTTGGTTTTAGTGTTCTATGTGGGCAAGGTAAAACTTCAGGCAAGTGAAGAAAGCAACACGTCACTAAATGTAGAAATAGTAAGTGTTCTTTCTTTTAAAACCTTATTGTAAGGAAGGTTGAAATGAGTTTCTTTGTCTATACTTAAGATACTGATAACTTCACATGTTTCTTAATATATTTGCAGTACTAAATACTGTTTGCAGTGGATGGATCTACTCTCTATTAAACAGCTGCTTTTCAACTAAGTTTTAGAATTCCAGCAAAGTAAACTTCCTAGAGTAAGGGCCTGTATTTTCTGTATAGCCACTGAAAGGAAAGGGGATAAAAGTTAGCTAAAGTTAGCACCATATATGTTAGATAATGTTTTTCCACATGGTGCTTGCTACTTGCATGAAATATAAAAATAACTAGTAATACTGGCAACCAGAAGAGCATATAAATGCAGATATATAAAGTACCTTTAAATAAATCTTAGTGTATCCCCAGTCCCTAATACTAGATGATGCATATTTAGGTCAGTTCTACCATGTCTTTCACCTCAGTTCTTGACTTCTTAGTCCCAGAATTCTCTGTCGTCTGTTATGGAGATTGTCCCATTGTTGCATGTAGAGTTATAAAGTTTATTCAGTGTCTTGTCTAAGCTGTCTTTGTTGCAAACTAAGCCAAATTTCTCTTTTTCCATCATGGGATATGGTGGGGTCACTATCCTCTTGCCCGTGTCTTGCACAAATCAGATTCTGTTTTTTGGTCTATGCTAGATAAACAATTCCTTCCATAATTTGTGACAACAGTGTCATGGTAAATAGTTGTTGCAGTGTACTTGTGAGAAAACACACTTCTTATTTTTTGTAACTTCAGCCTATTCAAATGTGTGAAATCAACATTTTTCTTGTAAGGCTAAAAATGCTGTTTGTACTTAGCCACGGAATATTTATTTCTAACAGATTAATAACATAACCAGCAAACAAGTTGGAAAGTTAATTGCAATTCCAGCACATACCCCACAAGCACTGAGGTAAGTAATTTTGAATAAGGATTTTTATATTTGAAAAATATGCAGTGAGATCTTCCATGTGTTTTGCAGACTTTGTGTTATTCTTGCACTGTAAAAATTTGAGGAGTTACAAGTTATTGCTGTTTACCATAAAGTTCATACTGGTAAGAATAGTCTTATTTAGTTTATGTACCACTGGAATTTCTTTTAAAATATGGCTCAGTTACTGATTTCATTTCAGGTTCTTGCAGTTCCTTGGGGCTCAACAAGGCCTTCAGGCCTTGTTGTTTATATGTAGCTGATCTTAGTAATAGCAATAGTAATAGTAGTAGTAGTGGTGATAGTAGTAGTAGTAATAATAATAATAATACCACCTGAGGACATGGATTGTTGAGAATGCCAGTCTGGCCACTGCTCTTCATGAATAAATGGTTTTTATAATTCAGGATTTGGTTTGTCTGGTAGGAAATTATGAACAGAATTTTCATAGCTGCATGTTCTTCAGTAAATATTCTTGAAGTCTTATCTATGTTTTTATTTCACAATCTTTATAAGGAGAGGTTTTGAATGAGTGAATATTTACTGCTATTGCCAAAACTTGTGCTGCAAATCAAAAGATGTAATTGGCCAACATAACTTTGTAGAAGAAATACATATTTCTTACTTATTCTATTTCTGTGGCTTTGAGTATAATTTTTTAATTCTGTTCCAAATGCTTCCTTGCTAAAAGGCAACATTAAGATTTATCATTTGCTCTTTTAAATAACTTTTACAATAGGTTGATATTAAAATGTGATGACAGAGGTTTAAACTTAGTTTGTGTAGTGACTAATAAAAGTCAACTTTTAAAATGTTTAATGCTTTGAAAAGTGGTTTTACAGTATTAGAACTGGCATGACTTTAAAAAACCACTGATCAACTGGAAAAATATTTTTTTCTCAGTGATTGCTTTTAAAAAAAATTGTTGTAATTGTTTTTGAAAACATAACTAAAACCTCCATAATGGTAACGTTTTATTTTAAAGCATTTCAGAGTTCAACAAAACCTTGCAAGCCATAAGCGAGGTAAGAGTACTGATTGTTGTTACTGTTTTGAAAGCTTTTTTTCCACCTTATGATACCGTATCAGTCCTGATTTTTCCTGATAAAACCAATATTTTTCTCTTTGTCATTACAGTCCTCTGTTATGGCATGCAGTGCAGAAAACCAGAGGTTTGTTATTAAATTTTTTGACCATCAAATATTTAAAAGCTCATGTATTGTCTTGTGATATATAAAGTATGCCTGGCTGTGTAACAGAATAAAAAAAAACACTTTCTAGGAAGTAAAGTTCAAGAAACACTGGAGAAATATATGTAGGTTAGCACAGAAATTCTGGTTTCATTATTCTCCTGGTATTAGTGAATTTTAAAAGCTTTTTAGGGCTTGGGTTTTTTTAACCAAACTGTATTGCTTCTTATTAATCTTCTGCTGAGCACAGGTTTGCCTCCCATATTTCTTCTGCATCTTATATTAGTTGAGTCACATAGCAACTGGGAGCACCAGACTTTAGAACTTGTGAATTCAGTGCAATCTTTATAGGAGATTTGCTTGAGAAATCCCAAGTTGCTGTTCTTCAAATGGGGAAACCATCCCCCGAGCAGGGGAAGCCTAAGAGGGTAACCAGTTCAGAGTCTGGAAGCTATGGGTTGTCAGAATGGCAAAGCTGTTCCACAGAGGTGATCCTGGACACTCTGAAATGTGGATAATATCTGATAGTTGAATTGCTACTCACCACTAAATTGCTGGTCCTTTTAACTGATCAGATTGGAAACACCGTATTGTAACCCAAAATGTCTTAGAACATTTCCCCAGATACTTGAATCTGGAGTTTATCTTCCTGGATTAGGATGAAAGAAAAGTCCAAAACACTCAAATAGTAATAGACACAAAGTCAAATCACAACTTCATGTCATATACTGGCAGTTACTGGGGTAGTCTTTTCATTATTATGAGCTGGAAAGAAGTTTTGCTTCATCTTTTATGTGTTTCCCTTTATTCACCTATGTGTTTGCATTTCCTGAATGTGAAGAATTTTTACTGTAGGTTTACTAGTTTACACAGGGTTTCAAGTCAAAGAATCATAGAATTGTCAAGGTTGAAAGAGACCTTTAAGATCACCAAGTCCAATTGTTAACCTGTCACTCCTCTGCAACCCCTAAACCACATCTTCCAGTGCCAGATCTAGGTACCTCTTAAGCATTTTCAGAGATGGTGACTCCACCACCTTCCTGGGCAACCTATTCCAGTGTCTGACCACCCTAACAGGGAAAAAATTTTTTCTAGTATCTAATCTGAATCTCCCCTGTCTCAGCTTATGGCCATTCCCTCTAGTCCTCTCACTGCAGGCCTGGCAGAATGACCATCCCCCAGCTCTCAACAACCCCTTTCAGGTAGTTGTAGAGAGCAGTGAGGCCTCCCCTGAGCTGCCTCTTCTCAGGGCTAAACAAACACAAATCCCTCAGCCATTCCTTGTACAACATGTTCTAGAAGGTCATCAGACTGTAATTATAAAGGTGTAGTTACATGCTTAAATGGGTCACTTGAGTTGTCTCTGTAGTCAAGAAAGAGAACACTGGCTTTCCCCAGGTGACAGAGGTTTCATATATGCTGACATAGTCACCTAGGACATTTGATAGTTCCTCTCTGGAGTATCTTTACGCTAACAGTGGAGATTATGTTACTATCTTTACAAAGTTATCAACACTAACAGCTAACATTGATTAGGGAGGACCCCATTTAAGAGTCCACAGGGTCTGTAGAGATAAAGGAAAGTAAGATACCACAAACTGATATATTGCACTTCTAATTAGACTGGCAGAGTAAATTATGTGCATTAAAAATATCCCCAAATCTGACAGAGCCTAGGAGAAATGTCCTTTCACAGTTAGCATTTGGGCTAATGTACTTTCACTGAGCATTTGATGTTAGTTTCATGTATTGTAAAGATGAGGCAGCTCCATTTCTTGAGTCTAAAGCTTTTTCTTCTCATTATAGTATACACTGCAATTTCATAATGAAGCTGGCTGAGAGACAGAATATAAGCAGTTTAACAGACAAAGCTGACATAAGCCAAATGGGTAAGTTGCACTTTAAACACAACCTCATCACAATTTTATGCCTTTACATGTGAACTCCAAGTAGCTAAAAGATTGCTACTTATTTTTAGATTTTTTTTTTGAGGAATATAAATACATAAAAATGCTGCTGTCTGATTTTTGAGGGGGTGTGTGCTAGAAATATTGTTGTAAAATGTAGGTATAAAATTGCTGGCTACTTTAATAAAGCACACTTTGAAAGGATTAGGTGTAAAATTAGCTGAGAACATAAATGTATTAATGAAATGGCAATCTGAATTGAAAAGTTTGTTAAGTAGTCAAGATTTCTTAGTGATACGGTGATAGTATGGAGTAGTGGCTCATACTGTTTGTCTCTGCTTCAGAAGCTATGGCTTTGCATTTTGGTTTGTTTACAATAACAAAAAGAGAAATCTGCACTTGTCAGGCATTGAGCAAAAATCCGGGGGTATGGCAATATTCTGACTGGTCAGGATTTCTTTTGTTATGCAAAAGGCATTTCAAAAAAAAAGTCAAAATAGTTTGTGCAATATATACTGTCGTTTAAAAACATAATGCACATAGTTATTTAAATACTCTGCTTAACAGTATTAGCAATAGTGATGCTTCAGGATAATCTAGGTTCATGCCTTTTTGTCATCTCAGATCAGTGCTGCTGTTCATCACCAAAATATTGTTCCTTGCCTGCTGATGAATTACAAATGTAGTAAGTATAAACACAAAATTTGACTTGCTTATTTCCTAATACATTAACAGAGTCAAAGCCCATGTTGCAGTGTAATGGCCACACACATTAAAAAGCTGACAGACATTTTCCTATATAGCTCCCTCCCCATTCCTCCCTCTTCCCCTCCCTTCCCTTCTATTCCTTTTTTTTTTCCCCCGATGCATCTAGTTTTTGTGTTCAGCGTCAGGTCACCTACAGAACAGGCAGCAAAGGCAGTAGTGGTATTTATGGACTTGATAGTTAACAGCTACTGCAAAATACAGTGTAAGAACCCTCAAAATGTTATGGAATTTCTTAGTAGATAATGAAGCATCCAATCTAATTTATTTTGAAATATATATTATTAGTAGTATATCCGTATCATTCATATGTATTCCTTTATTATAACTCATTTTTTCTAAAATAGAAACAATGTTCAATTTAACATGCATTTTCATGCCTTTTTTTTCTTTTACAGTATTATACAAGTGCCACCTCATTCTATATGGGTTCCTTTCTCTCATTCACCTTCTCGTCCTAAAAAGACTTCCCCCAAATCTAATGCTTTTATTTCCCCCACTGTGCTTTCTGCTAAACAAAGCCCCACAATTAGACCACTGATCCCACCATTCACAGAAATTTCTTCTTCTGAAACTCTTTCCAGATCTCCCATTACAAACCCTCTCTCTGAAATTTCTGTGTCTTCCACCAGTGTTACCACTACACCTTTCTCTTCTGAGCCTTTTGTTCAGCTCACCATGTCAACTTTTTCTTCCGTAGCTTCTAATAAACCAGTCACTTTTTCCACACCTGTAACAAAACCTGTCACTATTGCTGCTTTCTCAATTAAACCTGAATCTGCACACCTTAACAGGCCTGAACATTCTACACTTTCCTCTTCTGAGCTTCCCCACAAACTTCCAAATGCAAATCCCCCCTTTCAGACTATCACCAAATCTATTTCACAAATTCATCCTGTTATATCTCAGCCTACTTCTGGTAACAGAAGTATTACTACAGTACCTATTTTTCCCGTTTCTGCTTTCACAATATCTTCGACGCCTACTGTTAGTCCTGTCAACTATTCTGTCTCAGCTTCTCATCCTCATTCTACTGCTGATGGCCATGGCAACACAGGTAAATACAACAAGTAAATGATATTTTAGATTCTAATGCCATATACTGCATTTGCTTTTAAACATGACCTTGCAATTACTGTGAATTACTTTGGGTGGGAGTGTTGATCTGCTGGAGGATAGGAAGGCTCTGCAGAGGGGTCTGGACAGGCTGGTTTGATGGGTCAAGGCCAGTTGTATGAGGTTCAACAAGGCCAAGTGTCAGGTCCTGCACTTGGGTCACAACAACCCCATGTAACACTTCAGGCTGGGGGAAGAGTGTCTGGGAAGCTGCACAGCCAAAGAGGACCCTGGGGGTGTTGGTCAACAGTGGCTGAACGTGAGCCAGCAGTGTGCCCAGGTGGCCAAGAAGGTCAATGACATCCTGCCTTATATCAAAAATAGCGTGTCCAGCAGGACCAGAGCAGTGATTGTCCCTCTGTACTCAGCACTGGTGAGGCCACACCCCAAGTACTGTGTCCAGTTCTGGGCCCCTCACCTCAAGAAAGACATTATGGTGCTGGAGCAAGTCCAGAGAAGGGCAGCAGAGATGTTGAAGGGTCTAGGGAGTAAGTCAAATTAGGAGCACCTGAGGAAGCTGGGCTTTAGTCTGGAGAAAAGGAGGCTCAGGGGAGACCTTATCATTCTCTACAACTACCTGAAAAGAGGATGTAGCAAGGTGAGGGTCGGCCTCTTCTCTCAGGTAACTAGTGACAGGACAAGAGGACATAGCCTTGAGCTGTGCCAGGGTAGGTTCAGGTTGGGCATCAGGAAGAATTTCTTCACTGAAAGGGTTATCAAGCATTGGAATGGACTGCCCAGAGAAGTGGTGGAGTCACCATGCCTGGAGATGTTCAAGAGATGACTGGACATGGCACATAGTGCTATCGTCTAGTTAACAAGGTTCTGTTCTATGTGGAAAACCTGAGACAACTCTCACAAGGTATACACTTACTTTAGAATACTTTCTGATGTCTTTGGCCATAGTGAGTGATCCCTCACCCTACAAATTGGTTGGTAACTGGTATAGATAGGTACTGTGCTAAGTACCCAACAAAGCAAATTTCTTTTGGGCCCAAAAGAATTAAGTCAGAGAGCCAGGTAGCGATTTTTTTAAAAAACTAAGTTACTGTTTAAAATAATGCAAATTAATGCTGGAGCATCCTTAAAATATTGTAATTGATTAGGAATATTCTTAGTGGCTGTGTATTTTTTTATGAAGATGATACACATCTTTATAAGCTTCTTTTCAAATTTCTGATATTATGTTGATTTTATTCTACTTTCAGGCATCCAGTGGTAAAAATCCAAAATACTAAGTTATTTAATATCACTAATCATCTGATGTGAGGAACTTTGTAATCAATAAAATGTGGACTTAATGTTGGCCATTTGAAACCTTGCTTTATGTTTTTGTGAGATTTAAATTATTGTTCTCTGCAAAGTAGCTGATAGAGTGATTCTGTCTCACATAACTTGTTGAGCAACCTTATAAATTGGTGATGTAGTTTTTCTGCTTCTCAAAGCTTACTTCATTTGTTGAACACAGCATTTAATTAAATGCACAACTTTTCTTTTGTCACAGGAAAAACTCTGTCAACTACCACAAACACAACTGTACACACCACCATTAATACCACCACAGCTGAGCAAATTGTGTCCAAAATCGAAAATGATATAGCAGCTGGAAAAGTAGAGAAAAAAGATGTAGAAAAGATGGTTAGTGAAGTTAGCAGAGTCCTGACTGCTGCTCAGTTGTTACCACCCCGGATTTCTAACAGGTAGGTCATTTTGGCTATAGGTTAGAGGTGTATTGTATTTACTGTCTTGATAAATTGGTTTCAGCATTTTCATTTTTTCATAATAATCCACAAGAATATATCTTGTTCTTTGTTGTACTTACACAAAATGGAAGGACTATTATTCTACTGTTACCAGCTCTACTATCATAGATAATAATGCCATGGAAATAATATGCCGTGGAAAGCTGTTTAGTTTTTTTATGTTGACATCACAGTAAGTGAACAGAGTCAGCTGTATTTTACACTATGCTTAGATTATTGCTCCATAACCATAACTTGCTTGAGAATTTATGTGCTTGGTAATGCTAAGTATACTTTTTCTTAACAGAATTATAAAACTGGTGGATTATATTGGCTTAAAACTGAACTTCTCAGCATCATCTGCTGAATTTGTCTCCCCTTCCTTGGCTCTGGCAGTTGTCAAAACCAATAGCATCCGCTCCAACCAAATGTCTTTTGCTGTCCAGGACTCACCTGATTTCCAGGTGAGACATTGATAATTCTAAATACTTACAAATTGTCAGACATTTATTTTTTAGTGTTTATGGGTTTATATTTATATGAACATGAGTTTCTTCTGTGTTTATGTCACAATTTCAGACACAAATGTCACAAATCTTCTATTTGCACTAGTTCCAGAGGAAAAAAACTTTATTTTTGAAGCCCTCCATAGTATCTCCCTTCATTTTCTATTGTGTAAATAAGTGTAAGTAAATGTGCAACAAACTTAACAGAAGCTTCCTTTACTGGCATAACTAATGCTGTTCAGAGAGGGTGCAGCCAGAACACTGAATTAGACAGAGTGCTTGGCAGAATAGCTTTGCCTCAAAAACCCTCAATCATGAGTCATTTATTCACCCACCCTGACAGTGCTGAAATTTGTCAAGGAGTGTTGCCAGATGGCTTCATGCATTAGGAGATTAGTTGTGGAGGGATCCAGGAAAGAACTATTATGTATGTTGCTTGGATAATGATACTCAGACATTTGTCACTCATGACTAGTTGGTCTCACCAAGGGAGAAGTGCTTAGAAAGTTTGGATCACTTTGTCTCATTCAGAACCTCTCTCCTGGTTGAGGAAATAACAATTTGGACAATACCAGCCTTGGAGGCTTAAGCAAGGAGAGTTGAAAAGTTCTGGACAAACTTTGGCACGTTTTGTCTCCTCGGAGAAGGAAATATCTTGATGTAGCATGAGCTATAAGTAGTACTGGAACTTTTCTGTGATACTGAAAATGAGATGAAATGTTAACATATGAGTTATTTTCTATTTCTTAGCAATATGTAGTGCATGAACGTGAGGTGACTGGGAGGTGGTAGTGCTGAAAAACAGATAGCTGCTAAGTAATGTTTTTTTAAAAATTTCCTGGCTTCAAACCAGAGGAACAGGAATGCTTTTGTGGAATTGATTCAGGATTTCTGTGGTGGCTGCATAAACCAGTGATCTCCAAAGTGGGGTTTGAGCACCCCAGGGTGTGCACACAACTGTCCACTGCAGTGTGGAAAGAAAATGTTATTAATATGATTAGTAAATGAAAAATACATTTTTAAAAGTAACATTTAATCACCTTTTAAATTTTACATTTTTTTAGTATTTTATAACATACATAATTTATTACTACATTAGTACATACCTATGTATTGGTGCTTGTGCTCAAAAAATTTTAAAGGATGCATGATCAAAAACATTTGGAGTCTACTGGTCTAAACAGAAAGTTAGCCCCCATTTTTAGGGCACTGTGGGGAGTTCACACTGTTGCTCTTATTACAGCCATTCTTTGAATACTCAGATGATTTCTTTGTTCAGTTCTACTGCTGTTTCACATCTCTCAGGAACTCTGAGGTGATGATATTTGCATGTAGAGTGACTAATGTGTGACAAGAGAATGTTGAGAGATTTTGTACTAAACAGAGCTCTCTGGCCTGTAAGTACAGCACTTAAAACTGGGTGAAAGTTTGGATCTATTTTTGTGTAAGGCTGAGCATAAAGTTAGGTTTTATGTCCTTAGATTCTGCTTAACCTACTGTACTTAAAAACCTATTGACAAATAATGGCTGTTTACACTTTTTCTGAATTCTAGCATACTTCATATGGGGTATAAAAATTCTTTGCCTTTGCCTTTGCCTTCCATGCTGTGAAGTGCTGATCTCCCTACACAGTGACATGGACTTACCTGGGTGGTTGTTCACCTTTTTCAAATCCATATTATCCATTACAGCAGTGTGTTCTGTCCCTGTAAGCAAAGGGGTAAAGCCAGATGACTTTCAGTGGTAGGCAGACCTGAAATGGGATGTAGCTTTCAGTCCTGTAGATGCTGTTTATTCATTGGAGCAGGAGAGCAGCAGTGAGTTCGTGACAGTGGTTACAGAGATACGTATTTTTAAGTTTTACACTTAAAACAAGTCCTGATTTCTGTCTTTGGAGACTGAAATGACACATAATCCTTGCATTTATTTTTCAGATCTCTCTAGGAATTCCTGCAATTCATAATTTAAATAATCTTGGATCAATTATACTTCCTTCATCCTTGATGGCAAATATACCTCATGAAGAGTTACACTTGGCTTCTCGAATTATATTCAACTTCTTTAAAAAGACCACTGTGTTCCAGGTATTTTTTTGATCCTCTGTTCATAAGGGTTTTAAACTCAAGCCTAGGGCAAAATAAAGTATGAGTGGATTTTTTTCCCGCAAGACGCATTTTAAAATTTCTGATTCAAAAAGTAACTGGTTTTGTCCAGTGCTTACTATGTATAGTAATTGAGCTTGTGGCTGCTGTATTCTACTGTTGTTTCCTTTAAGATGTTAAAATCTGGTTCTTTGTTGATCATTCTAGGACCTGTCCTTGAAGAATGCATCTTTGATCAGCAGTGTTATATCATCAAGTGTTGCTAACCTCACAATTAGCAACTTAAAGGAAAATGTGACTGTCACTTTACAGAATATCAGACCTAATCAGGTATGATTTACATTTTGACAAACTTAAAGTACAATTTTGTTGCCTCCACTGAAGTTGTTGTAGAAGAAATACTGTATTAAGAATACAGATCAGTTGATTCTGTTTTACTAGTGTGGACATTTCATCTCCATCTGGACGTTTAAAATCACTTGTCTTTGCTTATTTATCACCAGTCTAGATTTTGGTTCTCAGATGGTTTCAGGTGACTTTGCTCTATCATTTATCCATCCAGCTTTTATCTTTCTTACTTAGCCTTCTGTTTTATTCTTCAAAGAAAAACTCTTAGATGGAAGTCTGACAGTGTGGATTGCTATGGAAGATGCTGCAGTCATGGCATTTGTAGGTCCTGCATGGCCAGAAAGTAATACAAGTCTTTTTACTTAGGGGAGCTGGAACACAGGATTGTGTCAGCTGGAAGTATTAGGGCTCACATACCTCTGTCTTAAAGGAGCATCAAGATTAAAGTCTTCTATCCTGTATCTTGACAGAGTTTAAAGTACTAAATTATTATAAACTGAAAAATACAGGGATTCCACTAATGCACCTGAGGCTTTTTTTCAAGAGCTGGCTCTACTTGTCTTAACATATGCTGAGTTTTGAAATGTAACTGTACAAGTATTAGTGTGTTGCTGCTGCTGTTTTTTGAATTTGCATGCATGTGTGGGAAATCTATACATAAACGTTTAACATGGTAATAGAAAGTGATCAAATATTTGCAAATGATAATATTTTTCCTTTTCTTTGTGGTCATGTGCTCAATGCTTACAAGATCAGGAAGGATGAGAAATCCCAAGAATTTGTATAGTGTGGGAAGACAGTGAAAGAGCATTCAAAATGTTTTACCAGGAACAGAATCTTTGTATAAGCATGAGCACTAGCTCCTGTATGGTGGCTTCAAATTTGTTCAGCATATTTTTACATGCAGTTTGCAATATTAATCCATTCTATGAACCTAAATTAATTTTGTGTTCATGCAAAACAGGCACATTTGCTGTATACAGTATGTATTCTTGCCTGCATTCTGTAGATAATTCATAAATCATCTGATCCTAAACTCATAGTTTAATAATTACTTTTCCTTTTACTTCCTAAACAGGAGAATGCAACAGTTAGATGTGTTTTTTGGGACTTTCATAAAAATGGTAAGCACTTGAGATCACCCAAGATACAATGCTGTTTTAGCTGTGTTGATTCAAGTTAACATAAATAAAGCCTTTTATGAATAACAAATCTGCTTTCTCTAACAGGTGGACATGGAGGATGGTCATACGAAGGTTGCACAGTTAAAGAAAGCAGAGTAAATGAAACAGTCTGTTCATGTAATCACCTCACAAGTTTTGCAGTTTTGATGGTAATTATTTTTAAAATTATGCAATCTTTCCTTGATTCAAGAACACATTTAAGCATGTGTTGTCTTAAGCAAATGAGGATCCAATAAGCACATACTACCTAAGAAATAATACTCAGGTTGTAATCACTTCAGTGTTAGTACATATAGCCATACAATTTGTCACATGCTTAAGGTGCTTGTTGAATGGGAGTCTGTGAGTTCCACTGGAGTAAAAATATTTCTTAAGTGCTGCAGCTTTTATATTTAGGCATTTGTTTATATTCTAGGAAATAAAATTTAGGGGAGATCAAATTTATAGCAGGTTTTTAATCAAATGGGTTTTCACAATTAGAATCATAGAATAATATCTTAAATTGGAAGGCACCCATAAGGGTCATGGAGTTCAACTCCCTGCTCTTTATAGGACTAGCTTGGCTTTTTTGTTTTCCAGATAACCTTTTTATAAGATCCAGCATGAAAAGAAGGGGGTTTTTTTGTTTGTTTGTTTTGTTGCAGAGGAAAAGGTGTTTTGGTGGGGTTTTTTATCTTTTTCTGTTTAATAAACATGTTCTCTGATATGGACTTCTCTTTCTCCTTTAGAACTTGTATGGAAATACTCCTTTGAATCCCACGCAAGAATTGGTACTGACTTTTATATCTTATATAGGCTGTGGCCTCTCTGCAATTTTTCTTTCTGTTACTCTTGTGACCTACATAGCCTTTGAGTAAGTACCTGTTCAACTAAGCTCCCATTATTCTTTAAATATGTTTGATTGTAGTCTTCACTGTGAAGTTCTGTCCAAGAGTTATGGATTCTGTCTCCATTAATAGTTTGTCCAGTTTACAGAGAAGGTGTTGATTCAGTCTTCAGGAATGTTACTCTCACGACTAAGTGAACTCTCGTGAAGATCTATGCAGTAGGAAGTGAAGAAGTAGCACTCTGAAGTATTTTATAATGGATTATCATAATAGAAGTGTGAAGGAATGTGTTTAAGATAGAAGATATAGAGAGTAGTACAGAATTACAGAATTTTACAATGTATTTGTATTCTTCATTTATTCTCTCATTACCCTCTCATCAAGGACTTGTCTCCATCAAGGCTTTAGAAGCCCAGTCAAAAGCCTAATCTAGTTTAACAATAAAGGACAGTAACAGTTTGGGTTAGCACAGTTCTGAGAAGTCCAACATGCAGTGTGGAAAAAAAAAACCCCAACCCAAAACAGGGTGCTAAACTCAAAGACTCCAAATTGTTGTTCATATTTTTGTTCATATTTATGTAACCTTCTCTAAAAAACTTCATTCATACAGACTCTTAATTAGGAAATCTTTGGTAAATCATTATCTCCATGTGTAAATGCAATATATGAAGCACTATATGTGAATGAAAAGATATAAGTCATTTTTTCTCTTGCCGTTCGTGTACTAAGGACTTCAGGAGAGGAAGTAAGCCAGGGATCCTTGGACAATTGATGTCATGCCACTAATTTACGTTTTTTTAGGAAAATCCGGAGAGACTACCCCTCCAAAATACTTATTCAGCTGTGTGCTGCATTACTTCTGCTCAACTTAGTTTTCCTCCTGGACTCATGGATTGCACTGTATGATACACGAGGCCTGTGCATTGCAGTTGCTGTATTTCTTCACTATTTCCTCTTGGTTTCCTTCACCTGGATGGGCCTGGAAGCTTTCCACATGTATCTGGCACTTGTGAAAGTCTTTAATACTTATGTACGGAAATACATTCTTAAATTTTGTGTTGTTGGTTGGGGTATGTAAATTTTTTTTCCTATTATATGCTAAATAGGTAATTCCTATTATGAAATTTTTCAGTGAATGTATTTCAGCGACTGTGGCACAGTTTAGAAATTAAAATTAAGCAGTCATTACGTGTTATAATTTGCAGTGACCAGGCATTCATTATCAGTGAACCTGTTATTCCACCTTTCTGAGGTATGGGCTCTCCCCCAGCTGCAGAACTGAAGCTTCTGCAATGCAAATTGATAATGAATTTTCCTTGTGCTAGTACAATAGAACCAGCTTTGAATGTGCATACTTTCATTTCATTTTCCTGGAAAGATGGTGTTGGTTGTATTTTGAAAATAAATGGCAAGAAGTATATATATTCCATTTCTGGGATAGCACTGCTGCTAACGAAAAGCAGCAAAACAGGTCTAAGTGGATAGAGGATGAAGAGGTTCTGGGCCTGATTGTTGTCTCTGACCACGTGAGTGAAGACACTAAAATAAATGGAGTTGTCTTCATAAAGCATGTGTAAGAATGAAAATTAGGTATGCTGAACTGATATTTGAAGTCAGTTTGAGTGATTTGTGTTTGTTGGCTTATTCAGAAGGGTTTGGAGCTGGCTGTGAAGAACTCTTCTTGTTTCTTTGCAAGTCACACACCTGAGCAGTTTGAATGTAGTTTGAAGCAAAAGATTTTTGATTCTTTCAGCCTGCTAGTAGTCAACAAAACTCAACAGATACATTTCAGAAACAAATTGTAGATGTCATAGAAAAATATAATGATTTAAAGTCCTCTTAATACTGTCTTTGTCAGGATTTTCACTTATGTGTTTGCTCATAATCTTTCAGGGTTACCAGCAGTAGTTGTGTCCATTGTGTTGGCAGTATCACCAGATAATTACGGACTTATAACCACTGGAAAGGTTTCAATAAATGGACCTGATGAATTGTGAGTTAAAGGGAGGTGCTTTTTGGTGGGGGACGGTGGGAGGAACGTCCTGCAAAATTGCTTTTCTATAAAGTAAAGGTGGGGAAGGGAAGGAAGCAATGGTAGTGCTTCGAAATTATATAGCTCTACAGTATGTCATGTGTTTTGTGGTTATTGCCTATATAAAAGCTCCTACCGTGGCCAAGAAATACATTTTTCTAAATGGGCAAAAATGGCTTCATGTGCAAAATCTGTATGTGTAGCTCACATTTATTTCACTTATTTTCTGTTTCTAATAATAGTTGACTGACTTTTCTTGTGTTCTAGCTGCTGGATTAAAAATAGAATTGTCTTCTATATTACTGCTGTGGGATACTTCTGTGTGATATTCCTGATCAATATCAGCATGTTCATTGTTGTGCTGATCCAGCTCTGTCGCATCAAAAAGAAAAAACAACTTGGTGCTCAAAGGAAAACCAGTATTCAAGACCTTAGGAGTGTTGCTGGCCTCACATTCTTGTTGGGAATTACTTGGGGCTTTGCTTTCTTCACAGTAAATGAGGTATTTACTTACCTCTTTACCATTTTCAACACTTTGCAAGGTAAGTTTATAATTCTTCTGACAGCCCATTGTGTATACTATAATGAACAAAACATTTGGAAATGTCATTTCCTGGATTCACCAGTGAGGAAAAAGTACTCGTCAGTGTTCAGAGTTGTAAACTTTTTCACCAAAAAAAAATGTCATTACTGTTGATTATAAATTTAATGAAATGGAAGAAAACCAAAACATTGTTCATTAAGAAGCAGTAAAAGTAAATTTTGCAACATTCTATAATGTTATTGCTTTGCAGGGTTCTTCATTTTCATCTTCTATTGTGTAACAAAGGAGAATGTCCGTAAACAGTGGAGAAGGTATCTCTGTTGTGGGAAATTCAGGCTGGCTGAAAACTCTGGTAAATATGAAATTTTGTAAAAATTTATTCTTTTTACTTCTGACTACTTAAACTCAGTGTTAAGTTCCTACTATTTTTGTATTACATTTTCTAAAAAAATCTGTTAATCCTTTTGCTGCAGTTGCAGTTCTAGTTTATTATCCAAGGTATAATAAACCTCCGAAATTATATTCTGTAAAGGTAGTAGCTGATGCAGTTCTTAAATGCTGTTGCATAAAGCTGTTAACTGCAGTTGACCTCTTCCACTGCAGAGTAAAGACAAGTCTTTGCAGAAGACTTTTGGTTAGTTAGAAATGGTAAGATTTGTTCCAGCTCCTGGGTCAACTGTAGTTTTACCAGTGACTTCCACAGAAACAAAGTGAAGCATGGTTTAATCCAAAAAGGCTATATAAATTATTTTATGTTGTTTGGTATTCAGTAGTTGACTTCTCATAAAGCTATATACTCTTTATACATTTGAAATTTGAGGATCAACTGCACTTTAGTTATTTTTCTCATCTGGTCTGCAGTTGTAGAACTATGAGAGTTCATTGCTTGTATTAAAATAAAAGGGACAAGAGAAAAAGGATCCAGATTTAAATAATTTTAAATATAATTTTGAACATTTAAACTTTTATGTGATTATAATTCTGTCTAGAATACTGTGAGGAGAATGTGTAAACCATTTTAAGTCAGTTGCATTATTAAGTATATTTTTATATATTGCTTATATGAGCTGTGCTATTTTCTGTGTCATGTATCTGTTGTAGACTGGAGTAGAACTGCTACTAATGGTTTAAAGAAGCAGACTGTAAATCAAGGAGTATCCAGTTCTTCCAATTCCTTACAGTCAAACAGTAACTCCACTAACTCTACAACACTGCTAATGAATAATGATTATTCAGTGCATGCAAATGGAAATGGTAAGTATAATGCAAAATACTTTTTCTCAAGCTATTTTTTCTTGTCTTGAGACAGAAGTGCTATGCTCTTTCATGCTGATGTAAAGGGAAGTGCTGATAAAATGTTATTCATAAATATAGGGTCAATATATTTCAGGATTTCCTCTCAAATAATATCACACATCAATTTTAGGGAACTATAGGCGAAATTGTAAAACGTCCATTTCTCCTACTCAGTGGGAACTCTTGATTTATGTATAAAACAGTAGGTAATATTTGGTATTATCACAGTACTTACCAGCAGCTGCTGCTACCACTTTTCTTATCGTCTGAATATATGACAGTAACTTCAAGCATGTTTTGAAACAGCTAATATTTTTAACCTTACTTAAACAAACATTGCCAGAAGAAGAAAGAACTACAGGATAATAATATAGCTTGAAAGTATGAAAGAAATCATGTTGGAGGTAATATGAGGAAGAACATTAGTGGAGTGCTCATATGAGAGGAGAAGTAAGAGAAATGGAGATTGTAACTTACAAAATCACCTCAGTGAAGGGAGCACTGCTGACAGGGCTTCCTCACTGGTGGCTACAGAGTAAGTAGGATGTTTTTGCCTAGCAGAAATATCTTTGTTGCAAGAAACAATGCTTCAGAAGTAAAATTCTCTATGTTCTAACATAATACTATCCTCTGAACTGGTACCCTCTGCTCTGGTCCTGAGAAGCTGAAATGCAGGTGTATGTAGCCCTCCACTCGATTTCACTTGCAACTTGGTGTGGCTTACTTGTCTATTGAGAAAACTAGATATGAATCACTGCTGAATATAACTTATTAAAAGCCTTTTTTATTCCAATGGACATAATCTAGTTTTTCATACTTTTGCTGGGCACTCAGGGGACATCACTCCTGTGTGCCTCAGGTATTTTTCCCAGTTAATCAAGAGTTGAAGCTAAGAAGTCATGTCACCACCTAGAATGTTTATTATGAAGCTGTTGAACATTCTCAGAGAAGCTGTTGTCCTCATTTCCTGGCATATGCTGTCAGAAGACAGCAGATAATCCATGGGATAATCTCAGTAGATAACCTCTGAGATGTACAGAGTAAAAGCTATGGAATTCATATGCATGAATTCCTTAATAGGTTACTGTCCATTTGAATGTTCTATCTGCATATTGTAAAGAAATCACAACACTCGAGGAAATAGCATTTGGACATGCCCTGAACAGCTCTCCAAATTGAGGTTGTAAAATTAGTGCCTTTTCTTTTCTTTTTTTTTATTTTTTCACATCCCTTTATAAAACCTTTCTGGATAACACACACTGCAATAATTAAATACTTTGTTTCCAACAGGTCAGTTGAGAACAGAAATGCAGTAACTCTCACTGTCATTAAATACAAAGTAAGGCAGTATTTTTAGGTAGAAGTATTACCTTTCAAAGAGAGAAATTTACAGAGACAAAAGCCTGCATGTCTTGTAGAGTTATTTTTTTCCCAGCTATGTTAATTACTCTTGATGAAAGATGCCATCTCTCCCTGCAACACTGACATGCTTATGCGTGGCTACAAAAGCAGTTTGGCTGCTTTTCTCAACAAAAAGAAAGAGCAGAAATGCTCTGTGAAACTTGTTTGTTGTAGCAACTGAGTGAATGGTCCTGTTGTGGCTTTCTGGAAAGTTTTTGTTTTGGGCAGTAGTTTAGAATGAGATGCAAAATTGGTGACCTGAACTACTGAGTGATGTCAATTCTGTGGGACATGCTCCAATTCTGTCCTAGTTTATCCACATAATTAGATCTTTCCAGTGTGAGAGTCTCTGTCCTGTGCCAAAAGCTTCTCAGACAAAGCAGCTGAAAGGACTTTGATAAACCTTTGTTCCTGTGCACTCAGGAACATGGATGTCTCAGGTGACCCACCTCATCTCCTCTTGTATATTATTGTATATTTTGAATGCTGTGAACCTTATACCACATCCTGCATTCATATCCACAGGGTGGTATGATACCTTGCTAGCATAGTTTGACTAAATAATTCTTTAGGACTTCCACGAGAAGATGCTAGACATATGCTTGGATAAAAGTGTTTGGGCAGACCCATAATAAACCTGTGTGCTTGGTGGCCCTGACCCAAGCAGAACAGCAAAGAGCAGTCCAGCCCAGTCACTCAAGCAGCAAAATCCTTTCTGCAGAAAGGGTTAAGTGCAGGGGAGGGATGTTACCAAATACTTTTCCCTCAGGTGACCACAACAAGAAATAGTAAAATGGCCCTGCCACTTCAGGGACAGTTCAGAAGCTTGAGGTAGTGAGAGAGTGAAAGGTGAAGACAGAGCCAAAGCAGAATTCTACTCCAGGGTATTTGATGAACTGAATCCAGGTGCACTAGAAAGGATTAGATTCTGATCCCTGTAATAAAAGAATTTTTCATTGCCTAGAGGTTTCTCACCACTATTTTTCCTCTGCCTAAAACCATAAACCACAAGCAGTTTCTGCCTTCAATGGGTTGTCTTTTCAGTAGATTTCCTGAAATGTACTGAATCATGATGATGTTTGCATATGAAGTGTTGTAAATATTAACACAAATAGCAAACTTGGAGGGTTTATGTTTTTTACTAATTCTGTTTCTAGCACAAATGATAAATGACGTCTCTGCATCTATGTTGGTTTGCCCATAGTGATATTCCTTATTTATTTGCTTCCACTGATATGGTACATATGACATTAAGAAACAGAAGCATTTGCACAAACACTTAGAATAGAAAAATCCAAATTCTCATAATATGATGCATAGAGGTAGGATATTCCATCCAGTGAACTGAGCATTTGTGCAGGATTGAAGTAAAAGGCTTCAGTCAGCAGTGGTATTATGTGTTCATTGTAGATTCACCTAAAGTTGTAAAATTCTCTCCAGTCTAAATGCGTCTTCAAGCCACGATTGGACCTAGGGCATATTCTGATTGTGCTCCAGAAATAAATGCTGCAAGTTGAATGCCTTTCAAAGGAAAAAAATATCCTTGTTTTCTCAAACACTTTCTTCTTTCAGGTGCATGGCACACCTGAGAAACCTATTAAACTAAAAAACTAAAATCAGAAGTATTTGGTATCTTATCCAGTGATATTTATTCCAAGTCAAAGTCTACGTTTTGAGAATTGTGACCTTCAGTGCTTAAAATCTGGAATCCTATTGTGCATGAATAAATTAACATCTCTCAAATCTCATGATTTCACACAGGAAAAGAAATATATACAATATATGTACAGAAAAATCCACATTTTAAAATCGATGCATGGATAAAATGAGAGTGCATGACTCCCTACAGTGACAGAAAAAAGATTCTGAACCTTTCTGATAGGGAATGCACTTTTTTTGTTTCAACAGGTCATCTTTCCAGTGAGAAGAATGGTGTTTCTTTCAGTGTACAGAATGGCGATGTGTGTCTCCATGACTTTTCAGGCAAACAACTTGTATTTCAAGACAAGGATGATACAGGCAGCCAAAAAAGCCACATCTCACTCAGAAGGACTTCAAAGAGAGGAAGTGTAACTTCTATGGAGAAAATGTGATTTCCTTTTAAACAGCACATTGTTTCACAGTGTGAAGTAGAGTTTTACTTTAACAGTTCTACATAATGTGAGCAGACCAAGAACTGATTTTATTTAATATATGGTACTGGAACTTCAAGGCAGCCATGCAATGGATTGACAAGGACAATTACTAGAATAAAAAAAATGAAGCTACTACTTTGACAAGGTTGTGGACGTCAGATTACAGCTGGTACATTTCCATTTTGATTCTTCATCAGAGTGGGGTTTTTTGAGCTTGTTTTTTACATTTAAAGGAAAGTTTTGTTTATACTTTTTCATTACAATTAATTTTATCTGGATGTAATTCTTAGTAGTATTGTATAAATGTAGAAAGTTACAAGTTGTGCATACAAACGATGTTAACTTTAAAAATGTTAGCTACCTTGTCTTCAGCTTTTTGTACGTTGTAGCAAACTCTGTAGTGATGTACATACACAGAAAAGTATCAACTGTTAAGCATCTCAATGATACTTTTATATTTATTTCTTGTAATATAAATTTAAATATTCCTATGTATAGAAAAACAATTGGTATTTTGTTTTTAACTTTTATTGAAAGTTCACATTTTTCTTTAGTTAAGTAACACAGAATGATACAGAAGTTAATTTGTTCAGTAAGTGAAATCACTTACCGTTGTTTGAATATATTCACAAGGTACAGAACTGTAAATAACAAACACAATCGGTCTTGAACCTTTAGCAACCTGTTAGTACACCATAGAGGGATGGAAACTGGGTATAATCCAAGTAGAGTGCCATGAATGAGGGAGTGATAAATAAAGCAGTCAGTAGGTTATTAAATACAACTGTTAGTGGCTTGAGTAAGTCCATGGAAGTCTGTGCCATTGCTTTCAGCAGGGTCAGTGTTTCTCTTGAGTGGTGGTGTCAGACTAAATACACTGCCATTTCTCATTTGCAGTGATGAAAGTAGGTTATTAATAAAGGGAAAAAAGATTCATAAAGGAAAAGTCGTTGCAAAGGAGGATTCCTGGTGAGTAATCAGATAAGCATAGTGTGTACGCACTCAAACATAAATCCAGATATAAATCCTATCCTGGCTTTTTTTTCCCCCTCGCATTTTCTCTGGTGGTACTATTGATGAGGAGATTTCAGTAGTCTGAGATTAGGACAGACATCTGAGGGAGTTTGGGGCAATATTTGAACTTGTTATCCCCCTTACACACTGCAAGGTTGGGCTGGCAGCTCCAGCAAAAAGGTCTTTGTGTGGGTTTGCTCCTGACCTCAACTGGAAATGGCACAGGAACAGATGCCCCTCACCCTCACATATTTTGGCACTTTCTGTCCTCATCCATGCTGGAAGCTGGAAGAAAAAGTGTCTGATTTTAGTAGTGAAGTTTCGTTGTAGACGGGAGAGAAATGAGCAGGGATCTCTCCAGGTTATTGCAAACTGGACTGGGTGAAGAGTGTTGGGGATGGAAAAGAAGTTCCATGTAGTAAAAGGAAAGGGTTGGGATGAAGATCCCAAGCACTGGGGATTCTCATCCTTGTCCTTGCCTATAACAGTCCATGTGCTTACTGCAGCCAGGTAGGCACCTTGACGACAACTCCCTGCCATGATTCTCCTTGTTTCATACCTTTGGTTCATCCCTCAGCAGCTGGAAAACATGAGGTTGTGGTTGTTTACTGCCACATGTCCAACAGCAAACCTGAAGCACTGTGCTCTCCGGAGCATTCTGAATTGGCTTCCCACAGGGTTATTCATTTTACCTGAGAGAGAAACAATGAGGTAATAGCCTGAATTAGAAGGCAGAAATGACTCATAAAAACAGTTGATAACTACAGTTGTTTTACTGTCTTCTGCATTTTGTCCATTCTATATTTAGAATTATTTTTAATTGAATTTAGAGAGAAATGAGTCATCGGTGTTTCTGCTGGGGTAGGGTCTGGTATTTATCTGAATTTTTCCTGCCCTTCAACAAGATATCATAGAGCTTATTGGGTGACCTTCACAGCAATGGAAAACTCCAATTCCCAAAGTCACTCCAGACCAAGGTAAAGAAGACAACAATGGCTGAAGTCAATACGTTTTCCTGTAAATCACTACCAGACTCCCACTTGACCACACATCTCTTGCATCCTTAGGAAGGAAGAAGAGAAGGGAACACATCTATCTGTAACTGTTGTACTGACTGTTTTGTTATCAGAACACGCTTGTGGTAGCACTGAAATCAGCAATGTGCTGAATTCCTGCTACACCAGAGCCTCTGGGAGGTCCTTGAGCTTGGCCCTACCTTGTAGCCTCAGAGCAAAAGTCATTGAAGAAGGTGCTTGAACTGAAGTTGTGTTTGTGTAGTTTTTACTGTGTCTTTCAGTTAATTTAAAAGATCTTTGAATTCAAATATCTTCGTGTTAACTGTATACTTGGGGGCACTTGCAGAACCAAGGCCAATATTTGTATCTGTGAACCTGTTTTAGCCAGGATTTTTCCATTAAACACTTGGATTGTACCTTTAAGTTGTGCTTCAGGTACTGCAGACAAGATATGAGTGACATTTGTTGTGCAAAGCTTACATCTATACCAAACAACAAGCCAAGCTGTTGTAAATTACACCATCGTGTTTGGAATAGGATGGAGGTTGTTTCTTTCATTAGTAGTCACATGAGTTATTTCACATTTTTTTCCTCCTAGCTGTGAACACTGCACTTGTCAAAAGGAGATTTAAACACTGATCCTAACATTAAAAAATACAACCACTTCAATAAAGTTTGCAAACCAGTCACTGTCTTGAGTGGGAACATTGTGGCACTCAGGTGCTGCTGTCCCACTGCACCTCTGAGTGTGCAGGAATAAATCAATGAGCCTCATCCGTTACCTGATGTGAAAAGACAGTGTGCAGGAGTGTCTTTTACAGTCATTTAACTGATGTCTAAGTTCCTTATCATCCAGCAATGTACATCAGTCACACGGTAATTTTCCTGCTGTCATGCCATTGGAAATAACAGACTCATCATGAGACTCTAAAGTGAGGGAACTATGATGAATCCTGCCAATTTCTGCAGAAAACGCTTGTGGAGATTTACCACTTTCATGAAAACTCTTTCAGGGTGAGCTCCCATTTTGTAACCTGTTGCTCACAGGAAAAATCCAAGTTTTAAAGCCATTCATGTTCCAAAAAAAAAGAGAGTCATAAAGATTTTCTGTTTGTGGGCATTAAACATGTTCCCAGATGAAGTTAAGTTAGTCAGTAGTTCCAGCTGGAATATTGGAGTATCCAAACCAGGTGGGAAGGGAAACAGATAAGGTCCTGCAAATATTATGACTTACTCCCCAGTGGGTAAAACTAGAAATGGTTGATTTGTATCTCTATCAAAATGTAGTCCTGGCAGCACCAAAAGTAAAGGAGGACTTCCGGGGTGGGGAAGCTGTGTGCTAATTACAGCAGCTGGTGCTAATTAGGCAAGTACAACACAAAGTATATAAACTTTGTCTTTTAGATAAATGTGTCATTAATACTGGGCTGTGTTACAATTCTTAGGATTACATGAGCTGCAGTATGTGACCTCTTAGAGAAAATGCTGACCTAGCTGTTAGGTTTATTGTCTCACACATATTTTACCTTTCATGGTTCTAGCAGATCTGGATTCTAGCAGAGAAAATCCTGACGTAAGGCTGTTCGGCCAATGCCTGCCCTCAGGCCTGCTGAAGCTCTTCCACAAGAATGCTATAAGCAAAAGCACATAGCTGAGTTTGGCTTCAGGAATTAAATTCCCTATGAAAACACATATCCCACTGTCACTGATCTGCTTGGAGTCTTACCTTTGTTTTTATTTTTGCAAATTAAAATATGTTAGGATTCTTTAAATAATTTGTGTTTGATACATTAGTGGGAGTGGGTAGTGCTTTCTGACTTCGCCACTTCAAAGCATGAACATACTGTAGTAAAAATTTGCTTAGTAAATTTTAGCTTAGTAAATAATGATCATCATTAAGCTAGCTGAAAATGTATTTGCACGTTGGGTGTTACCTTTTGGTACTTGGTCTGTTAGTCACTGCTGACAATTTAGCCATGGCACTCAGAGTGTGGTGAAAGCCATAACCCCTTCCCAGCCAGCACAAAGCAAAATTCTGTGCATCAACTTAGGGCTGCAAAGCTAACTTGGGGACATCTGTAAGGAGGTTTTAAGCTTAGTCACAGATAAACAGCAACCTGCTCTGTACAGCTGTGATCACCTTGCTCAGCAAACCTGTTCCCTAAGTGCATACAGTCCCTGTAAAAAGCAGTGCCCTGGAGCAGGAAGCTGGTGCAGAGTTCAGGGGAGAGTGAACTGGTCCATGTTCTGGGATGGCACAGCCTTCATCATACAGCTCTGGCAGATGGAGACAGTGAACCTCCAAGTAGTCCCTGTCCCCTTCCTGCTGTGTGGAACCTACAGAGATGCTGACAGTCACTGCTGCATGAACACATCTCTGAATGCTGTTTTCTCAACCACGCTTGTCAGTGACACAGTCAACGAAAGAAGCTGTTAGGATCTTATTTGTGAGAGGTGCCTCTGCCCAAATTAAGGTGTAAATGAGACCGTATGCCAAAAGTCAATAAAATGTTAATAATACAATAAGGGTTTTATTTGATTATAATTATAAATGTGAGGTAGAGACAGAAAGAGGAAAGGGGGGGAAGAGAGTGTGGGAGAGATATAGAGAGAGAGAGGAGGAGAAAGAGAGGGAGAGATAGTCACCACCCATGGATCCAGCAGTGTCCTGTTGGTCCATCTTCACTCTGGGCTTCTAGATGGTGGAGGTGCTAAGTCATTCTTCTGGTTGTGGGGGTGCCCAGTTCCTCATCTGGGGGTACCACCTTTATGCAGTCCAAATTCCAGATATCCATGGAGGTGTATTCCTAATTTCCATGTGAAGTGAGGATGGGCAGCCTTTATTTGCATGCTTCCTTGGGGTGGGGGTTTGGGGGTCACAGCTACTACCTGTCCAGTGGTCTTTGACTGGTGACATGTATATGCAGTTTGCCACAGCAAGAATTTTTGTTTAGATATATTCATCAGGATGTGATAACCAGATCCTGCCTCTGCCAGGCCTGGAATTTGCACAAACTCATCTCTTTTATGTTTATCTCAAGTTGCCACTGTGGTGGCTAGTGAATCCCTTTTGTGGCTTTAACAGTGTTTGGAGACAGGCAAGCTATTCTTTAATTCCTTACAGAAGCACAGCAAGGAAACTTAAAATATTATCCCTATTAATGCTGC